TGTGTGTGTGTGTGTGTGTGTGTGTTTATTTATTTAAAAAAATACATAAAATGTGCAATGGAGAGTAATTCCCGCTCTATATATCCTGTGTTTGAATTAATTATCATAATTTAAATTACAAATGTACTCTAATCTTTTCAATCCCTCATCTAGTTGAGAACAATCCTCGAACAGGAAATCTTGGGGCATTGATTAAAGTCTTCCTTTCCAGAACCAAAGAGTTAAAAATTTCAGCGGAATGTCAAAAGTAAGTTGGCAGTGAAATGCCAGGCGTTCCCTTTTATGTTTTAAATGTTCATTTGGTTGATAGCTCTTGGGTAATGCAATGATGGCTGCTCCATAAACACCTGAATCGGCAAGGTGAAAATTCAGGTTCTCTTAAAGTTTATTTTTGTTTTTAAAAGAGAAACTGCCGTAATTTCAGAGGAACAAGTATCTTGTGTATTTCAAGCACTGGGATTGGAGCATAATATGTAAAGTTATGCCATTACAGAAGAACAGAAATTTTCCATTTGCTTTACTTGTGTGAGTGGATCTAAATGTTGCAACAAACATATGTTTATGTAACTTTGGATTAATCTCTGCCCTTCCCACTCTGCGGTCCTAGGCACTGCTATCCCATTTCTTTCTGTGGGTGGGCATGACAGACAATAAAAATGCTGTGCAAATACTCCTTTGCTAGGTTTATAGTCTGTGACTCAAAATTCCTTGGAGCATAAATAACATTTAAGAGAACAACTGATGCGCTAGCGATTTTGTTTTCCTTAACCCGTAGTAGCAGTGGCTCTCATGCCATGCTACTGGCTGCTTATTTTGCAAATTAAAGATTTATTTTTCAACTAAGATGCTTTTTAAGGCATATTATAAGCCATCTGCTAAAGCTTCTTAGCTAATCTAAATTTATTTTAAAATCAGCCCATTATTTCTAGAATACTTGAAACTCTGACCTGGCCAGAATAGAAAATGATATAAAATTCCACTGCTTTCAAATTGTATGATCAGATTGCCTTTCTAATCCTCTTCCCCCCTGGTGGGAGATGAAAACTTCAAGAAGTTATACTTTCAGAAGTATAGTTTTCCAGGAAACTTTCCAAAGATTTTTTTTCCCCCTGGAAATTTCTTTCCTGGCAGGGGAAGGAGGAGTTTGCAGACATTTTGAGGCCAACTCCTCTTCTAATCTAGCGATCCATTGAGAAAGAATCTCTCTTATGTCCAGAGGAAAGAAGTCATCCTTTTGGCTGCTGCTGTGTTGGCCCCTCAGCCTCTTGACAGCGTGGCTTCAGCAGGAGCTGCATATGTTGCTGTTGACTGGATCCCCCTGAACCTGCACGTAGGGACCCAGAGGGACATAATACAGTTCCCTGCTGGATTGCCTTCATGCCTAGAAATCTGGGGACAAAGTTGTGAAGAGTAACTGGACTTACTGCTGTTGCTCCTGAAATCCACTGAACGTCTTCCACCTCGAGTGTCATCTGAGTAATATTTGTGCACGTAAAGGGATAAGATTGGGGATAAATTTCCATGCAGAAAGAGTGAGATTTAAAGAGGTCTCAATCCATTTGAGACTGCCCTATAGTACGTAGCAGTGGGTCCCCAAACTTTACCTCACACCACACCCTTCCCCTGTCCAGCTGGGCCAGGAGTGGGTCCACAGCTGTGGGAATGGGGGACATGGACAGGGATAAGGGGGCTGAGGCTGGGAGCGGAACCTCGGCCAGGGGTTGAACCGGCAGCCGGTGCCCCGAGCATAGGTGCCAGGGACTGAGGCTGGGGCCCCAACCACGCTCTCCTGAACGTTCCTCCATGCCCACCTCGGGATGACTCACAGATTGGGGACCTCTGGGGTGTAGAGATTAAAAAAGATAATAGGCTAGCTAGTCCATTTCCTGAAGAGAATGGCACTTAATGGTAACTGTGATGCTTTTAATAATAGTACTAAACTATATGTAGCAAGAAGGCTGCGTCTTCTTGAAAAGAAACGTTTATGTTTAAATAAATTTTCCTTGCTATTGAATGTCCACGTTTTAGTCACTTGAGACTTGCCTTTGCCTCATATGGGCTACAGGAACCTTTCCATTCACTGTTACACACACCTAGTCATGACTATTGCTGAACATTAATAAGTAAAACATTATTGACTCTTGTTTACTTTTCTGTTTCCCTTCTAGCCATCTTTTTATTTGGCAGGCCCACAATGCATTGTTCATTATTTGCTGTTTGTTAAAAGTGTTCATATGTCAGATGTCAGAAGAGGAACTGCAACTTCATTTTACTTACGAGGAGAGAATGCCAGGCTCATATGGTAGGTATTGAATATTGTCATGGAAACAAGCAATGCTCTATAGATGTGAATTTGCTGAAAAACGTTTTTTATTTTTACTATAGTACCCAGTTCAGCTTCAAGTCCAAACGTCACTTCAAAATTTGAAATAGTAAAGTAATTATGCTATATACTGAGGTGTTCATCAGCCATGGAAACACCAGTTGGAGAAACTTTGAACCTGAGGAGAGCCTGAAAGTGTGTCTAGTGGGATTTTCAAAAGCACTCAGCATGGGCCTACCTCTGCTCCCATTGGAGATGAAAGCCATCTGATCAGAAGACAGCATCATCCATATTTGTGCTCCAAGAGCCCAGCCCCAAAGTATAAGACCTGCCTCATCAGAGGACGAGGTTCCAAGCCTAGTAAAGGGGGAGAGGAGGGATGGGTGGAAAATAGAGGAATCCGGGAGAAATATCATCTGCCTTGTTGAGTACAGGGAGATGGTGAGAACCAAAAAGTCATTTGCAAATATACCTAGGATCAGCTCTGTATATTGTGCTTCCATGGTAGGAAAAAATGATTTTATAGTTGCTCAAGAAATTGCATGTTCAATAATTTGGAGGAATTTGAAAGCATTTGGTTTTCTTAAACCGGCCACTCATTGAGTTCACTAACACTTAGAGATCTTTTTCCTTAAATATTTGTGAGAATTGTGTATTTGATCCTCTTTGATATTACTAAGATGAAGCAAAAATGTTGTCCTGTAAGGGATCTATCCTGAATGTTCAGATCCATTATTTCTAATTTCTAGTGTCCTGCAGGATGCCTGCTGGCTTAGTAGTAATGCTTTAGACTTTTATATAAGACGCCTGGGTTTGATTCCCACTGTTGATGATTGTGCACCCTAGTGTTTTAAAGAATGCACCAACAAAACCTTAGTCCCCCTCTGCCCATGCTGATGTGCTGTGATCTCTGTCAAGATTACAAGCTAAATAGAAATAATTGTCAGAACTTGGAAGGAAAGCCTCTAGGGATAGACACTCTGATGTGTCCTTCAGACCACAGCTGCTTGAATCTCTTCCTGCAGTTGTATCTGAAATTCCTCCTCACTGCCTGTGTATTCTATTTTTCATCTTTTTTTATTTTTTTAAAGGAATGTACAATTTTATATGTAAAAGACAAAATTTCATAAACAGCAGCCAAAGCAAATAAAGGGCTTTTACTAATATATCAAGTGGAAAGAGCAGCACTATGGATACAGTGAAACCATTAATAAATGATGCAGGTAAAATTCACTCGTGGATAATAGTTGTACTCCATTTAAAAAAAAAAAAGTCTGACTCAACAAGAAAAATACAGAAAAGTGAATTTAAGCTGAAAATTAGGAACAGCTTCCTCACAGTGAAACCAGTTAGAGTATGTTTCTCAAATGCGGCCACCAGAGCCTTTTCTTGCGGCCACAGCCTCCTGGGCAGTGATGGGGGAGAGGGGGAAAACAGTGACTCCTCCCCTAGCGCTGCCTGCAGGGATTTGGGCCCTGCCCTCCTCTGCAGCCACAAATGCCAGAGGAGCAGGCAGCTGGTATGAATTTCCCAGGGGTGGTGGGGCTCAGGCTTCTGGCTTCAGCCCTGGGGTGGCAGGTGCCAGACTGCAACCGCAGGGCTTCAGGCTCCATCCCGCAGCGGCTTCGAGCTCCAGCCCTGGGCTCACCACCACCCCCATCGCCCCTGACCCCCATTGCCTCCCTACCCACCTCTCCATCCACGGCTTAATTTGTCCCCTGGCTTTCCGGGGCTGTGTATGTCTGCTGTGAAAAATGATATTTGGATGTTTGTTAATATCACTTTTCACTGCCTCTCAGCTAGCTAATAAGTCTGCTGTGAAAAGTGATACATACAAATATACATATATAATTTTTCATAGCAGAAGCCTTACTAGCTAGCAAGTCTTAAGAAAAAAGCAGTCTAAAAATCAAAAGAAACAACAACAAAATAGACAAGAATGTGCAAAGCACCTTATTTTGTTTCTATTCTGTTTAGGTCCAGTAAAGAATAGAGACAACTGTACATTATTTTTATTATTGAGTTTGCAAAAACCCCTACATAAATAAATTACGATTTGGATATGTGCATATTTATTTGTTTTTCCTAAAGTAAATTAAGTATTTTAGGAAAAATTGTCAGAGCGGCCACCAGCAAGAGTTGGTGGCCGCGCTGTAAGGCCATCAAAAATTTCCTTGTGAGAACCCCTAGAGACTGTGGAATAGTCTTCCAGGTAAAGTGATGGAAGCCCATTGCAAGGAGTGTTTAAATTTAAGATGGGCAAAAGACTGCACTTATAGGAAGACGGACTGCATGATCTCTGATACACAATTTCTAACAATTTTTCAGTGGTTCTGTTGCAAAAGTAATAATAGAGTCATACATGCATTTCATAATGCAACAATTGGTTAGTGTAATATAAATGTTGAGGCATTATTATTTATATAGCAGTCACAGTGCATAAGTTGTGTTGACAAATATCAGTTACCTGCCCCAGACAGCTTAATATGGAAATAATTTTCATTGCAGAAGTAAGGAAATGAAGAGCTAAGCTTACTTTAGCAACCTGAATGGTTACTTTCTCCTTATTACTTGCTGATGTGTATTACAAAAAGTCTTTTTAAAACATGAACACTATGTATCCATTCCATTTACAATTATAAAAACATTCTTCATTATAATGCTTCATTTGCTGAAGACTGTTTTGAATAGTGTTGTCATCATGAAATGAGACATTATTGTAGAGTGCACACACAAGGAGGCAGAGTGAAGGTTAGTGTGCAAACCTTGCCTCTCAATTTCCTGACTTTACAATAAAGTTTTGGTTAAGGTTCTAATCATATGTGGCTTATTGAATAAAACCAATTACTTTGCTTTCTTCAGCATGGATGGCTGGTGTCAGAATTCTAATACAATGTGTGTGGGTTGTGGAAAAAAGAACCCACAGGCATCTGAATATGGGCTTCCTTCAAACAGTCAACCCAGGCAAGGGCATGTGTCTTGAGTGCATAATAATTGTTTGTGCATAGACTAGTGAAAACCATTAATTAAAATCTATTTAACTCCTTGGCGCCTGCTGTTGCTCTGGGGAAACCAGACTTCTGGTGCCAAAAGATTAACAGCTACATGTTGAAATGGTTTAATGTCTTTAAGCTGTGATGAGTAATCTCTAAGAATGAGGTCAGCCAACTGATACATTAAACAAGCAGTGCCTGCTTACAATAAACTATCACTGCAGAGTGAATGTGGGTTTTCACCTGGTAAAGAAATATTGCTTAGTTGTCTAATACAGCATAGTAACAACAGACAGGGAAATGCCACATGAGAAAAGTGACATTTAAGTGCTTTATTTTACCATCAGAACCACAATAATCTTTTTATTCTTAACAATGAGGGAATTCCATATTCTATAGTATTCAGAGTGACTAATATCACTGAGCTACATGTCTACATGTCTGTACATTAGATGTCTAGATATCTGTACAGTACTTACACAATATTTAGCACCATTTGACTGTAATTCATAAAGATATTTATGAAGCTTAAGTATAAGTTTGTGCATATGGAGCAGTATAGACAAAGTTACTTAGCAATCATCTTAGATGAGTAGATTGTTAGTTGAATGCTATAAATTAAGAGGGTAGCTGTGTGTGGTCTGTTGGTTAGAGCAGGGGACCGGATTTCAGAAAATCTGGGTTCCTTTTCAACTGTGTCACTGCTTTGCTGTGGACTTGGGCCAGTTACTTCTGTGCCTCAGTTCCCCCTCTGTAAAATGGGGTTATTTCTTACAAACCTCACTGGAGTACTGGTTTATTTGAGGATCCTAAACAGTTTTACACAGTATTACGATTACACATCTAATACTGTAGTAGGCTGATGGATTTTTACAGTCTGTAAATTTAGGATATTGGAAAAATAAATGAAGTGTCACCAAAAGAATATAATAATAATAATAATAATTAATAATAAAAAAGCTGTTGTATTTTGATCTAGTAAAGAAAGAGGAAAAAATTAAATGAATTTATGGCCCCTTGTATAACTATACCAACAGTAGCTTCCCAAAGTAATTTTTTTCATTCCTGGTACCTTAGAGTTCCCCCTAGTGTCACAAAGTATATGCTGATTTATTATTGCATTTTGTATTTGCTTATTTACTTAGCACTACATACGATGAACTGTTTTCTTGTTAAAAAGAAAGTTTTGAACAGTTCTTACTGGCTTTTCAGCTGCTGCACTAGGTTATTGGTATTTCTCCCTCTTTCAGATGGCAGTGCGTTTGGGTAAATCTTATGAAATATATTATTAAATAAAAGTACAAATAATATGTACATAAATGAAGACATTAGTTCCATATCTGGGTTCTGAGGATATCATCAGCTTTAGCTTTGTTATGGCTTATGAAGGACCTTTAGCATTACAGCCTGATGTACAGCTGGGCTTACTGTTATTCCTTATTGATTGTGCACAACACTAGATGGCCCACGTGGACTCCTTCCGTCCACAAAAATAACTTTATTTAATCAATCGAAATTATTGTTGAAAACTTAATTGTAATCCACTTGCAAAGAATCACCTTCCGTGGTCATTCAAAATAATCCATGCTTCCTGTGATTCCAGCCCTTCTCCTTATGTGTCATTCACCTTGAGGTTGAGAGAGCGGCTACCTCTTTTCAAGGTCACCTTGGCAGAATTCTTCCAAGGTCCCCTTAAAGCCACGCTGTAAGTCAATATTGTGTACAGTCTGCTTTCCTACTCTCTTTTTTAGCATCTGTTCTCTAGTGTTTCTAGCCAGAGGCCCATATTTGAGTAAACGACAGGTTTCAGAGTAGCAGCCGTGTTAGTCTGTATCCGCAAAAAGAACAGGAGTACTTGTGGCACCTTAGAGACTAACAAATTTATTAGAGCATAAGCTTTCGTGGGCTACAA